TGGCACGGATTTCCTATGCGCTTATGGACTATTGGTGGACGTCAAGGGCCGCCGCCTGATAAATGCTGTGACTTTTTGTTCTTACCCATGTACATTAAGTGGAGCGGGCTCTACCAGGTTGACTAGCATGCTTGCAGCGGCTGATGAGTTTCTGCGTCTGCTGGCCGAGTTCCCAGACCTCTCGCAGCCCACATTCTCCTCGACGGTCAAGCATGGGGTGGAGCATCACATCTCTACCACCGGCCCACCGGTACATGCCCGGGCCCGGCGCCTAGATCCGGCAAAGCTCACCATCGCCAAGACAGTTTGAAAACATGGAGCGCCTGGGCATCATTCGCCGCTCCAACAGCCTGTGGGTTTCACCCCTGCACATGGCCCCGAAGCCTGGGGGCGGGTGGCGCCCGTGTGGAGATTATCGCCGGCTCAACGAGGCAACAATCCCGGACCACTATCCGGTTCCACATATTCAAGACTTTTCTACCCACTTGTCGGATAGCGTGGTGTTTTCGAAAGTGGACCTGGTACGAGGTTACCATCAAGTGCCCGTTCACCCGCTGGACATTCCCAAGACTGCGCTGATCACTCCGTTCGGCCTGTTTGAGTTCTTGAGGATGCCGTTTGGCCTAAAAAATGCAGCGCAGACGTTCCAGCGTCTAATGGACACGGTGCTGAGGGACCTGCCTTTCCTGTTTGTCTACCTGGATGACATCCTGGTGGCCAGTTCGTCAAGTGCGGAGCATAGGTCTCACCTCCGGACTCTATTTGAGCGACTCAGCCAGCACGGGTTGATCATCAACCCGGCTAAGTGCCAGTTTGGGTTGACCACCATTGACTTTCTGGGTCACCGCATCACAAAGGACGGGGCGGTTCCCCTTCCGGCAAAGGTGGAGGCAGTGACTAACTTAACGCCCACTCACGGTGAGGGCCCTGCAGGAGTTTTTAGGCATGGTGAACTTTTACCATCGCTTTATTCCCCGAGCAGCGCAAGTGATGCAGCCCCTGTACGAAGCCCTGAAAGGCAAGGCCATCAAGCAGGCTGTGGACTGGACTGAAGAGAGGGAACTTGCGTTTGTTGATGCGAAAACGGCTCTGGCAAACGCAACAATGCTGGCACACCCATCACCTAAGGCTCCGATTGCCATCACCACGGACGCTTCGGACTACCACGAGCAGTGGGTGAAAGGGGTGTGGCAACCGCTTGCTTTCTTCAGTCGACAATTGCGGCCTAATGAGCGGAAATACTGCACTTTCGATCGGGAGCTCCTCGGCCTCTTTCTGGCCATTCGGCATTTCCGGTTCCTGCTGGAGGCTCAGCCGTTCACTGCGTTTGTGGATCACAAATCACTGACGTTTGCCATGAGTAAGAGCGCCGAACCATGGTCTGCACGCCAGCAGCGCCAGCTCTCCATCATAGAGTTTACCACGGATCTACAGCATGTAGCGAGCAAGGAAAACCTGGTCGCAGACTGTCTCTCCAGGGCTGTCACCGGGGCTGTCCAGTTAGGATTGGACTATAACAAGATGGCAGAGGATCAAGTTACAGACCCGGGCGTCCAGGAGTTGAGGACGGCAGTTACGGGACTGCGGTTGGAGGAGGTCCCGTTTGACGAAACTAGCGTTATGCTCCTGTGTGACGTCTCCACAGGCCAGCCACGGCCGGTTGTTCCTGACTAATGGAGACAACAGGTTTTCAATGCTATTCATGGACTGTCGCACCCTGGCAAGAGGGCATCTCAGAAGTTGGTCTCAGCAAAGTTCGTCTGGCATGGGCTGAAAAAGGATATACGGAAGTGGGCCGGGACTTGTGTGGTGTGCCAGCACTCCAAGGTGCACCGTCACATAAAGACCCCTTTAGCACAGTTCTCGGTTCCAGAAAGGAGGTTCGATCATGTGAATGTGGACTTGGTAGGACCTTTGCCCCCATCCCGTGGTTTCACACATCTCCTCACGATGGTAGACCGAACCACTCGTTGGCCAGAAGCTGTCCCGTTGTCATCAACAACGGCGGATGAGGTGGCTTGGGCGTTTATTCAGGCTTGGGTCGCCAGGTTCGGAGCCCCAGCTGACGTTTCCTCGGACCGAGGCCCACATTTTACATCAGCTTTGGAATGCAGTTGCAGAAAGCCTAGGGGTGAAGCTCCACCGCACTACCACCCGCAGGCTAATTGGTTATGCGAGCGGTTCCACCGGTCGATGAAAGCTGCTCTCCGGGCCAGCCTCAAAGACAACAGTTGGGTGGACAGGCTTCCGTGGGTCATGTTGGGGCTTAGGACAGCCCCCAAAGATGATCTGCAAGCTTCATCGGCTGAGCTGGTTTATGGACAGCCACTGTGGGTCCCGGGGGAGTTTATCCCCAAAGTCACAGACCCTTGGTCTGCAACCCAGCAGCGGGAAACGCTCCTGGAAAAAGCCAGGCTGTTCAAACCAGTGCCCACGTCGCAGCACGGCCTTCCGCAGTCATACGTCCCGTCCAGCCTCAGGTCAGCGGAGTATGTGTTCATTCGCCAGGATGGCCACCGTGGACCCTTTCAACCCCCCTACGTTGGGCCGTTTCGGGTGCTGGAGACCGGAGACAAAACCTGTAAGATCGACATGGGCGGCAAGCTGGAGTACGTAGCGGTTGACCACCTTAAACCAGCACATCTAGACCTGGACCAACCGGTACGGTTGGCGGAACCCCCACGGCGGGGGCGGCCTCGTGCCCTCCCACCTCAGCACGACAGGACCCGGAGGGGCCTTCAACGGTGGTCCTGCTTCCAGCCCCAGAGACACGGAGTCGGGCTGGTCGGTTGATCCGGGCCCCGAGACACTTAATGGTTGGGACTAATCTCAGGAGTTGGTGAATTCTGGGGGGAGGCATGTAGTGGACGACCGAATTCACGGGGCCCCTTTAAGGAAAGGGGCGTAACCCTGGTGACAGGGGGGGTTAAAGGGTGGCAGGAAGTGAATGTGAAGACATGTTTGTATGGACGGAAATAAACGGCCACAAGGTGCAGCCAAAGGGAATACTCGCCTCCTTGTTTCTTTCCACGCTCCTACAATTTAATATTTTTTCTTAAATACACTACATGTATTGTAATTTATAAAAATATTTTTCCCATTATCTTACACAGCTACTGTCTTCCTCAGGTGCTCTGCATCCAGTGCAGCTTGTTTTAAGTAGAGCTTTTATCCAATCAGATTTCACCTCTGTGTCTCTAGGTAAGAAGAGAGGCCCGAGGCCTGCAGACTCACAAGTGAATCCCTTTGCAGTTTAAGTGAATGGGGACGATATTGTTGATTGTCATAGTCTTCAACCAATCAGATCTTTAGTTTGACATGTTGAGAAACACTGTCCTACCTGAGCGCTGAAAACATTATATTTCCATCTATTTATGCTTCTGCATCTTCCTAATGCACTAGTATTATCCAAACGTATTGTTCGGTTAGTAAGACTCGTTCTGAACGGTTTAATACGAATACGTATATAGTTACAGTCCTAGAAACGGATAATAGCTGTGGCGCCATCATGAGTTTATAAGGTGGTATTTCAGCTGCAGGACAGCAGTGAAGGCCCAGGTATAAAATGCATGGCCCGCCACTGGTGTAATGACACTCAAGGCAAAGTATGACTCTGAGGGCGTTGCAGTTTCCAAGCTTCACTCCCGAAACGATGCCTTAACTACATGCTGCTCAAACGCTCTGCATGTTTGGAAGCACATACTGTGTGAGCAGCTTTTCTCTGCGATGAAGATGAACAAAAACCCACACAGGAATCGTCTCACTGATGCACACCTTTACTCCATCTTGAGGGTTTCCACAGAACCTAAGCCCAGATATTAATGAACTGGCAGCCAAGAAAAGATGCCTAACATCTGGCTCTGGTACATATGCATAAAATAATGTAGCCTACCTAAACATGTATTCTTTTTGCACTTTGTCCAATATCCCTTCTATCCTGTTTATTAAATGGTGACTCTATTTGGCCCTCAACATAGTCCCAATTTTTAATTGTGTCCCTCCCCGAGATAGAGTTTGACCAGTGCTGGGCCGTCAGGGCCTGCAAGGCCTTCTCTGCTGGCCTAAACAGAATCACAAAGTTAAATCTATTTTATAATTTAATATTTTTTCTTAAATACACTACATGTATTATAATTTATAAAAATATTTTTCCCATTATCTTATTTTCTCATTGCACAGCTACTGTCTTCCTCTGTTGCTCTGCTTCCAGTGCAGCTTGTTTTAAGTAGAGCTTTTATCCAATCAGATTTCACCTCTGTGCCTCTAGGTAAGAAGAGAGGCCAGAGGCCTGCAGACTCTCACCTGCAGCCAGTGCAGATTAAAGAAAATGGGGACGATATTGTTGATTGTCATAGTGTTCAACCAATCAGATCTTTAGTTTGACATGTTGGGCGTATTCTTTGACTATCAGAGCCTGCGCCCCGGCCTATAATGACGTCAGCATTACATGCCGCTCAGTGTCCATGTGTAGCTTTCCCGCGAGGTGCAGTGTGCTGTGATTGGTCAGTGGGTGAGCACGTGACTATCGTGAAACGAAACTTAACAGCCAGTAGAGGCTGATGGGTAGTGAATCACATCACGTGATGCAGCTCAGCCAATCAAATATGGGCATTCTGACTGAGTGAGATGCACCATGACACAGGGTGCTGAGACCAGGAAAGACATTGCAGAGCAGTACGTTCAACATTCAAGTTGTGAAAGTAAAATTCTATGATAATCTCTTTGGGTTGCGGCTTGTCATTAAGGAATGATGGTGGTTACCACAGCCAGACCAGCTGAGAACATTATATTTTCCTGAATTTAGGCTTTTGCATTTTCTAAATGCTCTAGCATTATTCAAACGACTCATACCAAACGGTTTAATATGAAGATGTACATCGTTACAGCATTAAAAATGAATAATAGCTGTGGCGCCACAAAGTGGTTATATAAGGTATTTCAGCTGCAGGACAGCAGTGAAGGCCCAGGTATAAAATGCGTGGCCTGCCACCCCTGGCATATATGCTGTATTATGCTAAAAGGTGTCATTTTCTTTCTTAATTTAGTCTACCTCCAAAACAGAAAAGGAATTCATGGCTTAGGAAGGACATTAAAATATTATGATCCCCTTCACTAATTAACAGTCACTGTTGCTAGCAAAAATATCAGGTCATTTCCAAAATATTCTGGCATTTACATATTCACATGTAGAGTTTCAATCATGTTCCGAAGTGTTTCTTTTTGTATTTACGTTGTAAAATCAGGAGAATGTAATTAACAAAGCCATCAGGGCCAATAAACAGAAAGACTTTCCATTTCCCTGGGGTGAGAAGTGGCTTGAAAAAAAAGTCAGACATTAACAAGAGCATTCCCCATCACTTTTTTCCCACCTGACTATAAATGAGCACACTCCTGTACATTGAAGAGAGCAACCACATTAACTTAAATGCATTTCACTGCAGGTTAGTAAATCTCTCTGAACCTCTAGCAGTGTTCCTGCATGCCTCTAATTAAGAACAGTCAGTTTTTGGCCTGGCCAGGACCCCGAAAACACTGGTTTATACTCTCATTCTGGGACTCTGTTGTCCCCTGTACTAATCTCTCATCAGTAATGTAAATTCACTACTGTACAATGTAAAAATGCACTCCTTCATTGAATGACTTTGAGTTGCTTTTTCCCCCCCCAGAACAACAGAGCATAGAAAGTGTAGTGTAAGCAGGATGGGACAGTGTGTTTAGGCAGGTGACATTCATGCTCCTGCACTACCTTGTTTCTAAGGTAAGGACATTTAGAGGACAAGAAGAGAGGGGTTTCAATGTGGATATGTTGTGGAAGAGTTGCAGTACATTATGTTGCTCCTTATTAACGGTGCGTGTCAAGAGATGTAACTGTACAAGAGAAGATTAATTACTATTAATCTTAAATACTGTTTGGGTTTATGACCTCCATTCCTGAAAATAAACAGTATTTTTGAATCATTACAGTCATTCTGGACTGGTTCTGTTCAAAAATGTTAAAATGGGTAATTTAATAAAATTTCCCCAATGTAGAAAATATGACTAAAATGCTTTTGTACTGCTTACACTTGTGTTGTATGCATGCTTGTATATATTAATGCTGTCCGCATATCCACAACACTTTTCCTTGTCTGTCTTCTTGAGTCCAGTTGTCTGGGAAGGATGTTTGAAGATTGTTCTTTTGATCTCCACCTGAAAGAGAAACCAGAGAAGTTTACAATGTTTACTGAGGGAATAAATAAAATTAGAAGAAGAGTCGTTTTCTCATATAGACTTCCATACAGTCAGACTTCTTTTTGCAACCAGAGGAGTCAACCCCTGCTGGTCAGTAGAGAGAATGCAAGTTTTAAGACACTTCCGCATTGGCTTCACTCGGCAGAACAGAAGGTTGCCGTCTGGTCCGGTCCGAGGGAAAAAACATAAACTTTGTTGCATTATGTTTTAGAGGAGTTCACACAGACAAGAAACTCGCTGATTGGACAGTTTTTCTGATTGTCATCCTGCATCATGAGAACTCACATGGGGAAATCAATTCATGTGATTGACATTACTGTCTGGTACTCATTACTACAGGTAACAGGTAGAGACGGTAAGAGTCATATTTTGCCTTGAGTGTGTCATTACACTGGAGGTCCATCAGCTCCATTTGGATGTGCACGTCAACTGCAAACGGATTGCTGAGCAGTTAAAATTAAAATTTCTGAGCCGCAAAGTCGGCAAATCGCAGAGTGAACTCTGTGCCAAGTGCACCCAGTTTATCAGCAAAATGTGCAGTCGGGAACACAGCGGTGGAGACACGGTTTGGCAACACGGAAAGTGACCCAAGTTTCCTTGCTGCATCCGAGTCTCCCACAGGCGCAGCTTGGCTTGGAAAGCTCTTACTGCATCATACATGTCTCTGATCATACATGTCTGTGATCACATGTGCCCGTCCCAGAAGCTGGAGGTTTAGCGCAGTGAGATGCTTCGTTATGTCGCACAAAATGGCCAGCTCACATCGCCACTTTTCGTCCCGGAGCTCTGTGGTGTGGCAGGCTAGTTATGAGACATGATATTTTCTCGCGGCCCGGATATAATTGTACCGAGGGCCGGATTTGGCCTCGAGTTTGACATGTCTGATATATGCTGACAATTTATTGACAAGTCTCTCAATTTGTTGATCCTTACTTGATCCAGGCTTTTCATCTGGGTTAGAATTTTGTCCAGGGCCCAGTTCAGAGTCTGCATTTTTCCTTTCTCAATATTTCTCTATCGCTGTTCGTCATCACAATCCTGGTTCATTCGTTTGATTCCACACTAAAAAAAAAGAAAACGCACCAGAATCCACCTGGAAACGTACTGAGACCCACCTTTTCAAACTGTCTCAATTTGAAAACAGCCCAAATGACGTACTAACCAGGAAAACGGACCTGAGTTCGTTTCAACTAAACCAAACCTGTTGGGTGTGAAAGCATCACTACTGTTTATGTGGTAAGTTGTATGTCAACCCATAAGCTATAACTTCTTGATTAGCCGACAGTATCTTTGTTTCTCTGAGTTAGTCCTCAAGTTTGTTCTGTTGTGAAATTGCTTAATGCAAATTGTTAACATAGCAGTACATTTCCTTTTCTGTAGGAAATGTACCAAATGTACCTAATTAGGTGTTAATTAGTGAGCGGACGGCTGAGGCTATGCTATTTATATTAGCAGTAAAATCCAAACACCAAGGCAATGTTGCCATTGTCAACAATGAAAGAAAATGTTTTATATATTACATTCATTCTCTTCAACTTTTTTACTCTTTAACTGATTTTTCTAGATGCTCACCTAGAATCACTGCTGATGTTCAGCAATCTCTTAAGGAGTACCTTCCTCCATTCTCTCATCCTCCTGTTCAACGTCCTCCTCCATCCTCTCCTCCCCTCCTGCTTCCTCTCTCTCCTCCTCTGCTCTCCTCTCTCCCTCCCTGGCTGCTGGAGTGCAGCTGTGTGGCCCTTGCTGCCTCTGGTTGCGCCGCAACTTGCGAGCAAGGCCTTTACTCCTCTGCCCTATAGAGGAGGGCTGAGTCGTTGTCATGGCTGGACTGGGGGATGGGGACATGATGGGACATGAAGGGGAAGAGGATTTGGACAATGAAAGACTGCTCAGAGTTGATGTTGAGGAGGGAGCAGCCACTGTGGACAGTGGATGGCAGGCACATGTAGACGTTGCGGCGGCTACAGAGGGCGGTATGTGTGATCCTGAGGAGCCACAGGGTGTCTGGGATGGGTGACTGTTTGCTGCACCCTCCAGGTCTGGGTATGGGGCAAAGGTGGAGGATGCATAGACTGTGGACAAATCAGGAGCTATAGAGCAGCCAGCTGCTTCATAATCAGCAGGACCTTTGGGAGGAGAGTAAGATAACATGAGATAATAATTAACACAGTTTGACAGTGAAATATGTACCTGAGTAATAGTTATAATAACATTTGTATATATCCTCCAAAGAAAATGAGAATATTGCTTTTGTGTTTACTCCTACCAGGGCCACTGCTGGTCTGGGATTCATTGGTCATTGGTGGCTCCGCCTCCTCTTGGATCGTTGGTACTGATGCTAGAAGACCTGAGTGTGAGAGTGAAATTGTGTGAGAGAGTGAGTGTGAGAGAGAGATTGTGAGAGAGAGAGTGCGTGAGTGAGAGTGTCACACACACACACAAAATGGACCAAAGAATAAATATCTCCGTGTATATATATATATATAAATCTTAGGTTAGTTGACATACTAAGTCCTCTGTAATGTGAGAGTTGCTGGTAAACTTGTTTCATCCTCTCAATGTTGAGCCTGCTGCCCTCTGCGTGGTTGATCATTGGTTTTGGGTAATCAACTCCCACCACACAGTTGGCTGCCTTCTGAACCGACTCCGGGGCATTCCACGGCTCATAGATGTACCGGTTGGGATAGTCCTTCAAGATGGGGATGTAACGCCTGCAGGAAATTTCATGGTAAATGGTAAATGGACTGTATTTGTATAGCGCTTTTCTAGTCTTCCGACCACTCAAAGCGCTTCAACACTACATGTCATTCACCCATTCACACCCATTCATACACTGATGGCATGGGCTACCACAGTGGTTCTCAAATGGGGGTACGTGAAGGCACTCCAGAGGGTATGTGAGATTTAAAAAATATATATTTAAAATTAGCATCCATTCAAAAATCCTTGAAAAATAGTTATTTCATGAATATTCAATAAAATATAAGTGTAAGTTCATAAACTGAATTTTATATTCAGTAGGCCTTTGGCCGGCACTGTCGACTTGATTGGAAAGAGAAGTGTCCTTCTCTTTCACTGAAGAATCTGTTTTCTTCACTTCTGCAGGCAAATTGTCCGCTTCCTTTTCCAGGATACGAAACAAAAACAAAACAAACAGTCTCTATTGGTCCAGCAAATCTAAAACTGTTACCTAGGCTTTTCTTTTAAAAACATCAACGTTGTGTCCTTGCCTCCTTACTTGCGAATTGAATCGCATGGAATGGCAGAGATTTGGGGGTGAAACACACTACTCTGCTTATGTTTGGAAACACATATGTTTTGCTACGTTTACACTGAGCGGCCACACTACGCCGGAGTTTTGGAGCACCCTAAGCGAAGGAGTTTGAAAACACCCCCGAGGTTGGAGGAGTTTGAAAACTCCGGGGTTGCGTTTGCGTGTGGATGGTCGGAAACGGATGTGTTTAGAAAAAATGACGCCCACACCCGTGTTCGCTACTTGATTGGTTCTTAGCAGCCATGACGTCTCCTTCCTTGATTCGTCACACTCGCTATCACGTGACCCGTACCCGGAACAAAACAAACAGCCAGGGCTACCAGTGATTCATTTTAACATGGATAACGAATTTCAAGCGTTGCTTGCTTTGTTGTCTGTACTAGCAGCTGTTGTGCAGTAAAAGTCTGCATTTCTGTGGAGGAAGCAGCTGTTATTGGAGCGATTAGTGAGCGGCGTGACCAGTGGCGTTATCAGACCTATGGAGCGGCCTTCAGAAGCCACAGTTAGCAGTAAATGCTAGTCAGAGCTACGAGTGAGAACAGACAACACGGAGGAAACGAGTGTGTTCTGCCCCCACATTTCTGTGTGGTAGAATGTCATTGCATTTTCATGCTTGTATTTATCCCTCCTCTCTTGCCGATGAAAAGATGTAAGAAGATATATTCTATTCGCTCTTTTAGTATAGCATTTGTGTTGTATTAAATGCTAATCGCGGTTAGCATTTCTCCATTGGTGGTAATGTTAAAATTAGCTTAGAAGCTAGCTAGTCGGACATGTTACATGATGGCTAAGCAAGAGCAGAATAGAGTGAGAGACGTGTGTTGACCACATTTATGGACCCATAATCTAGTAAACGTTTACGTCTAAGTGTTGATTTTAAAGTAAATTTGATGTGAGAGAGAGAGCTAGAAAGACCCGCAGCGCTGTAACTAAGTCTGAAAAATAAAATTTCTAAAACTTTCCACGAACTGTCTGTTTGAGTTTATAGAGGAATATTTTAGAGGAAGATCTTAAGTATCAAATACAACCTTTCATTATTAAAGACTACTTTATTACTCTGTCGTATCTTTTTTAACTAAGCAACCAATCCACTTCCTGTTTACACCGTCACGTGCATGCCCAGTGTATGTTAGTGGTCACGTGCTGTCCGTCTTTGAAGGTTGCCGTGTGGATGCAGATCAATTCGAAAATGATGCTGAAACGCCCGTGTGGACGGAGATCGTTTCTATTTGAAAAATCTGCTTCCAAATCGAAACGGAGTAGTGTGGATGTAGCAAAAGTGTGGTAGAAGAACGGATGAGCCACAGGGGATCCTGGGGTGTCTGTGGGCCTTGACCAATGGGAGGGCAGCGTTGCGTTTCGGTGAAGATTTCACAGGTAAGTGTGAAATCCTTTCTTGTGGGGGTTTTTGTGGGGGCTATTTACCCAAATCAGGCCTGAAGGAACATACATGCCAGATCCCTTTGTTTCAAAGCACATGGTCAGAAGCACATGGTCCCAACATAGGGAAGGCTGGCCAAGCATGAGCTCAGGCATCCTGCCCCAGAAGACTGGTTCTCTCCATTATGGAGTACCAGAAGGGACAATGCTTTGATGTCTGAGGCAAAGACGTCCACCTCCGCTCTGCCATACCGGCTCCAAATCAATCCAAATACATCTGGATAGAGCCCCCAGTCACCGAGGGGTGGCCCTTGGCGGGACAGCACATCTGCTGCAATTTTATGCACCCCAGGGAGATAAATGTCCTTGAGGCTCAGGAAGTGGTGAAATGTCCATATAAGGAGCTGTTGTGACACTTGCACATCCTGCCTGGACCTGGTGCCTCCCTGATGATTGATATGATACACTGACGAGGCTCCCTGTCCAGATGAGAACACGCCGGCCCGTCAGTGCTAGGAGAAAATGTCGCAGAGTCAGATATATTGCGGGTATGTGTTCTAACCCCTGCTTCACGCTCCATCGGCCCTTGATGGTCCTGCACTGTCAGACTGCACCCTTACCCATAGAGAGGCGTATGTCTCCACCACCTCTCGGTAGGAAGGGATTACTCCTAGAGGAACCCCCTTGGTAAGATATAGTGTTCTCTTCCAAGGCTTCATTGTCTGGTAACAAAAGCTGGACACCCTGACGTTCCTGTCCCGGTGCCACTTGGAATCCAAGTGGAGCCTGTTGACCCAGATTTGAGGGGGACGTAAGGGGGGCCCGGCAGGCTGAGAAAGAGGCTGTATTTCAAAACCCTGCCCCCTGGAAGCAACCTAAAGTTGCTGAATAGCCTCCATTCTCTTCTGGAAAAGGAAGGCTCTCATTGACTGTGAGTCGAGTGTCATGCCCAGGTAACCTACCCTCTGACTGGGTGTGCGATTGCTCTTTGAGTAGTTCACCGTCAGGCCCAGTTGGCTTACATGACCAAGGAGCATAGCTGTATCTATGACTCCCTGCAGCCCAGTTGAAATGATTAGCCAATCATTAGTCCAGGTAAGATTGTCAAACCTCTTGAAAGAACGGCTGCCGCGCACCTTGTAAAATACTTGGTAAGCCTGTTCTTGGAAGGCGAACCTTAGGAACTGCCAGTGGTAAGGTGCAATAGGCATCCTTGAGGTGTATTGACACAAACCAGGCCCCCTGTTCCACTGTCTGGAGAATGTCTGCCATTTGCAACATTCAAAATGACAGAACCTTTATACACTTGTTCAACCCTCTCAGGTCTAGGATTTGGCAAAACCCGCCATCCTTCTTCGGAATTAAAAAAATACACTGGATAGAACCCACTGAGCTGTGTATGGCATTCTACAGGCATGATTGCGTCTTTGTCTAAGAGGGCAACGATTTCCTGCCTGAGGGCAACGGATTCTTTTGAATCTCTGACCATGGTCTTTCTGACGCCGCAGAAAGTGGGTGGCCGGCATCGGAACTGTAATGTGTATCCCTTGGAGAGTGTGGACACCACCCAAGGGTCTGTGTTCTCCCTCTCCCAGTAGCTGAGGTGCTGCTGAGAAAAGCATCTTGACACCGGTCCATCGCACCTCAGGTCTGGACCCCTAAAGCCTTTTCTGGGGTGACCGCATGGGGCTGGTGCTCCAGGCACCCGAAAAGCCAGCTGGGAAGGAGCACGGCTGCGCTGATCAATGTGCCCAGGATAGTGAGCGGCTCTAGGTTGTCTACCCGGGCGAGGAGGTCATTAAAAGCTATATGTGCAGTAATTGCATTGAGCTTGGCACTGTCTGTTTTCCTTTCCACCAACAACACACGTATGTGACGCAAAGTCATAAGAGTCATCATTACTCGCCACACTAGGCCTGTACAGAATGTCATTTTCTAAATTTAAAGCGCCCATTGAGGTTTTCAAATAAAGCTTCGAGAGTCCATTAATACAGGTGTGAGCCTCCCTTTGTGTGCTCCGCAGCAAGAGGGGAGAGCAAACCGTTTTTTGACTGCAGTGAAAATGTTGTTTATGAAAGCTAAACGTCAACAAAAATGGATAGAATACTTTGCTCTCTAGAAACAATGAATACGTCAATCTTTTATTATCACATTTTGACTTTTGGACACAAGACAGACAACTACAGAGACTACGATGTGCTGCAGTGCTCACTGTGTGTAAGAGAGAGAGAGCTGGGAAAAGACGGTGGACAATGTTCAAAAACATGGCCAGCAATGTTTCTGAAAGGCCAAGTGTCTGTATAGTGTTTATTTTTGCAGAAAAGTGCTGGCAGGGTGCAGCGCCTTTATGGAAAGTTCAGAGATTTAAAGTGCTTGAAGCATCCACACAAACTCTTAAAAAAAGATGCTGGCTGGTGCTCGGAAAAAAATACTATGTGGACACTGAGCCTAAGTTATTAATGAAACTAATTCTTATGTCAAAGTTATGAATGAAGCTTTGAAGATTCCAGCTATTCATGAGTTAGCTGTGCTGAAATAAAAGATACACCTTTGTGTAGTCAAAGGTAGAAGTTACTATAATATTAATATTATTAATATGGAAAATTACATGGTATGGTAGAAGATGATGTATAAGTAGCAGCATTAAGTCTACCTGATGTAGTCTCCTGATGGGTCAGTTCTCCTTCCAAAACCAACAGGGCAGTAGCAGTGGAAAAACTGCTGGAAGAAGGCACTGCAGGACAGCCACATCCAGCTTCCAGCATTTACACTCCAGTCTGCATCCAACAGTAGCTCCTCAAAAACCTGCAGGAACCCACAAATATATTTATATAATATTTTGATTTATAGTAGAAATTGGTCTTAAAGTGAACATTGATGCTGCAAAACTTGAGTTTGTGTTTTAGATTACTTTATTAGAAACTTTTCCGTTGTACCTTCATGCCGCTCTCCCAGCTGATCCACAGGTCTCCCCTGGTGAGAAAACAAGCCACAGCATGTCGGGCCAGGTGGTGGATCCAGCCCTCCTGTCTGAGCTGAGTCATGATGGCGTCAATCCAGGGAAAACCAGTCTGACCCTCAGCCCACTTGGCCAGTGCCTCTGGGTTCTGGTCCCATGGGATCTGACAACAAACATACAGTATGTGCAAGACAGATATTAACTATATACTCTTCTTTCTCTCTACAGGAGAATCCTTTTTATCTCAAAGGCCCCGATCACACCAAGACAAGTCGTAGAAACGTGTCGCCTGAAAAATCATTGTTTTCCTATGGTACCGTGCGCAGGGCATACGCTCCTCTCGCCATGTGTCTCGGTTTTTATAGTGGCTTTTAGACGGGCATACAAGTTTAAATATTGTCAGCTTTTAATAAGCACCAGTCGCACCGCTTGTCACCGTCACACTTGGGTCAATCAAATCGAGCAAGAGGTGGGCTTTAGCTATAGCTGGTTGTATGTGGTCCATATTTGCATTTACTTCATAACCACAGGGCGGCGAGTCTGTAGTTACTGACTTTTGACAATTTACTCCGAAATTATCAATAAGGGTCTATGTTTAAATTGTAGCTTGTGTCTGAAGTACAGATGCGTCAGTACTGTATTTCAATACACAGTATACTGCAAATATATTGTGGTAAAAAACATTATTTGAAAATGTAAATAATGTAGTTAGAACCTTACATTTGCACTACAGTGCTTAACAAGTTGTTGCCCTTCATTTAAAATGTTATATAAAATGTCTATTTTAAGGCTATAAGACCGAGAGCCTTCAGCTATGAAGCTCCTCTCCAGTGGAACCAGCTCCCAGTTTCAGTTTGGGGGACAGACACCACAGTTAAAAGTAGGTTTAAGACTTTGCACTTTGATAATGCTTATAATTAGGGCTAGCTCAGGCTTGTCTTGGACCAGCACCTAGATAAGCTGCTATAGGCCTAGACTACTAGGGGTTACTAACTTGGCTTCTTACCCAGAGTCATTCTGCTTTCTCGCCTTACATGTTTCTATGGATTGTGGTTACACCTGGACCGTGGTTGTGCCTGCCACTGTGGTACTGCCTGCAACTCATTGCTACCATTTGGCTGACACCCACAATGATTATGATTGTTAGTGACATCATTCCAGTATTTTCACTAATGCTGTTATTGTTTGTAGTATTTTTGTATTGTAGTTGTACTATTACTACTACTTATGCTATCACCAATCTCATTATATCTATAATTTCTGTCATATTCTCTAACAGTTTTTCCTTGTGAGGGTCCAAGAAAAGAGGATGTCAGATCTTGTACAGATAATAGAGCCCTGTGAGGCAAATTTATCATTGATGATATTGGGCTATACATATAAAATTGAATAGAATATTTAACTCACAATTGCCGTTAAATAAGACAATATAAAGGGAGACATATCCACAGGCTACAGTGCTGACAATTTTATGACCTGTTAAGTGTGAACCTCTTCTTTTAAATAGAGTGACGCAAAGGCCCACCTGGACACAGATGGGGTTTCCCTCCATGCGGTCAAAGTTTGGGTTGTTGGTAGCAGCTGTGTAGAAGAACTCCCTCCATAACAGCTGGCCGAACAGGGACAGAGGAGGACTGCAACGCTTACGAAGCTGACAAAGCACAAGATTGAAAGAAGTAAAGAACAACAAAGAAGAAAGATCATTGCAATTGTTGTGATTCCAAATTTGATGGTCAAAGAGAACAATTAAATACATACATACATATAAGCGCCTCACTGTACAGAAGTGTACAACACTATTAACTTGTGTTCCACTGTGACTTTCATTATTAGAATTGACAGAGAACAAAGTATCCAAAGTACCTTCATGTAGAGCTCCCTGAGGTTGTAGTACAAAACCCTACAGGACAGACAGCCAAAGCGCAGGTAGGGGCTGAGGCCAGTAGGACTTGCATACAAAGAGCACGTGTTGACACGAGGGTGCTCAAAGTTGGCCACCCATACAGAGAGAGAGAGAGAGAGAGACAGACACACATGCACACACACAATGAGGGCTTACAAGTGATTATCTGAAAAATTGTCATGTCATTTTTTTTCACTTATAATGTTGCCGTTTCAACTATGCCTCATTTACCAAGTGTTCTAAATGGGGGCAGGTAATTCCACCAAATTACCAAACAAACTTTTATTAGCGAATTGCCTTTATTTCGTTCCTGGTGTGTTTTATTATTTGAGATTTTGTCATTATTTGAATACAGGATATAATTTAAGAATTTACGGAATCTCATCCCATCCCTAAAAGACAAAAACTCAAGCTTGCAAACAAACTCAAACAGAACCAACGAATAGGGTTAACGGTCATAGCCACAGTGTTGGAGAGACACATTATAGGTTGCCCCCACAACTAAGAGTTAAAGAACAAATATAGACTTAAAATGGTTTACCTTTTTGTCAAGATGTTTGTTGAGTCGGTCCAAGGCCTCTGACTCTCCCCCCTGCCACACGGCTGGAGGTAAACCTTCTGTCCTGAAGCCTGGACACATATTTACATGGAGAGTTCAATGGTCAAATATTAAGCATTTATTATCTAGTGAACCAAACCTTCTCTACTGCATGGTGGTAATATACACAGTAAACTCCATTGATTAATGTGGTATTTTAATGTGACTATTAACAACTGTGTGTATATATATATGTATATATATATATATATACATACATATATATATATATATATATATACATATATATATATATATATATATACATATATATATATATATATATATATATATACATACATACATACATATACATACACATATATATACATACATATACACATACATATACATACATACACACATACATATACATACATATACACATACATATACATATATATACATACACACATACATATACACATATATACATATACATATATATACACATACATATACATACATATATATACACATACATATA